TGGGACTCTTTTGGTATGGCATGAATGGCCATGTCCCACAACACCGGGCAGGAGCCGCCACAGGAAGAAATGAAGATTCTGCACACGAATGAGAATGAAAGACTTCCTCACTCCCAAACATGGTCTTGAAAGCTCCACTGTCTGCCCCCAGCCTTCCAGGTGCTGCCAAACCAGCTAGATGGTCCCCAGGAAGCAATCTCACCCAAAGCGCAAGGCCAAATTCTGTTCTCGCAGACACAGTCAGTCTCCAAGGATCATAACCTAGCCCTTGCCTCTGGTTTGGTTGTCGACTGGTTGCCCAGAATAACGAGCAAACACACCAAATTCTATATCCTCTTGCATTAGAAATGTTAGCCAGGGTGTGTCTGAAGGTCTCCCACAACAAGGAAGGAGCCATTTCATAGAAGGATCCCGACTGGGTGCCATACCTTTCTCCGGCACCTTCTCCTCCTCCTTCTCCGGCAGGGTGACATATGAAAACGTCTGGGGCTTAGATGTGATGACTCCATCGAAGATGATCTTGTTCATGGTGCGTTTGTAGTCTAGGGTTACCTCCTTTTCCAGGCATTGCAGACAGTTCAACACACTGATTATGAATGGAAAACAAATGAACAGTGACTGCTCACATTGGCACATCTGCACCAATCCTCACAGCTCTTGCCCCAGTGGACTTCTCCTGGGTTTACTGACGCTTAGCTTGCTCACTATAAAGATCTGAGTCACATTAGCAGAGCTGTGGAGGTCCAGGAACAGAACGGGTTTGAGGCTCATTGGCAGAGTTGTGTATGGCCTCAGGATGAAGTTGTGACATCGCAAAGTTGCCCCACCCAGGTGGGTGGGATGTGAGTGTGAGGGAGGAAGAGGCTTGAAGTCAGAACTAGCACTCCCCTCTCCTCCTTGCCCTCCAGTGGCTAAGCTATCTCCTTCCCGCTCTGTTCTCCTTGCACCAGCCGCAGCTGAGTGAAAGCAACTAGCAGCTAATTCGGATCTGGTACAGGGCAAAGCAGCAGGAAAATAAGGTATGGACTGGAGGGCTGTGAGGAGAAAAGTATTCTCAAATGGGGAGAGACAACCTAGAGGCCGGAGAAAGCCGTGTGGGAATGTATTTGTGTCAGCTTCCCAAATGCCCCCTCTGAATAGTTAGTGAAAGTATAAAACTCTGGATTTTCCTGATCCTGAGCTCCATTATGTCATTATGCAGTCATGTGACTGTCTTCCAGTCAAGCACGGAGCAGTTCTCGCTGGCGCCCTCTCTGTTCATGCCCTCCCATCTAGGCTGCAGCTAGACCACAGCTCTTCGCAGCCCCACTTTTGAGAACGGGGGGGAGAGCAGGCACTCATTCCAAGGGACCGATGGCCATGCCAGGGCTAGGAGATGATGATTCAGCAAGTCCAGGGCCTCCCTAACTTTCCCCTAGCCTAGGCAATATCCCAGCAAAGAAACTGTCTTAGGGACACCTCACCCTGTTTGTCCCCAGGCTGCTCCTTTCTGTTTCTATTTGATGTCACAAGATCCCTTTCTTTTCACTTCTTTCTTTTCATTTGCCGACCAGCCACAACGGCCAGGCAACTGCCCAGCTCTTTGCTAACTGGCAAGAAGCACTCAGCAAAGACCAACGTAGGAACCATGGACGAACCGCAGTTTCCAGTGGCTAACTGAAAGTGTGCAGCCCAAGGGAACGTTTCCACCTCAGACCATCAGGCTACACAATGCTGTACCACTGGGCAGACATGCAGTGTAAGACACTGAAAGCACAGCCAGGGCTGAGGCGATCGGTGAGCCTGTTCTTGCCCCCTGGGAAGAATCAAAGAGATCCTCACCACCTCTCCTTTCTCAGGTGTGAAGTGCTCATTGCCAGCTGCTTCATCCGAGCCAGGCTCTTCTCATCAATGCTCCTCAGCCCGTCCACGGGCATGCAGTCCACGTACAGATGGTACCGCAACAGCGCCTGCGTTTTCTTACGCAGGGCATTGGCAAAAACCACTCGCTGAGCAAACACCTGGGGGTCCTCTGCGAGGAACAGCAGACGGACTCGTGGCACCCAATACTGACATGGCATAAGAGGGGCTCTCCCTGGCGGCAAAGAAGGAAAGACATGAGTGATATACCCCAGGGCCCTTCAGGAAGGAATTCCCGGTGAAAGCAGAAATCAGATTCCCTATTTACTGTAGCCACTAGAGTGAATGTAAAATCAGGGTCAAGCCGGTGGGGGCGGGGAGGTGGGGGGAGTGGCCCTGCAAGTGGCTGACCAATGAGGAATTAGAGTTCAGGTCTGATTTGGCTGAGGATTGCAGTGCTGAAATGGCAGCACCCTCAACCACAGCAAATGATGGGTCCTTCAAATACCCCCACGTTACCCCCCCAAATGGCATTGGCTCCAGGAGGAACGATGTCCAGCCCTGCTCAACTGTAGGGAAGAGAAGGGGAAACAAGAACTAGGGGTCACCAAATGACACAAACAGAAGGAAGTATTTCTTCACATAACATATAGCCAACCTGTGGAACTCCTTGCTAGAGGATTTTGTGAAGACCAGGACTTTAACAAGGTTCAAAAAAGAGCTAGATAGATTCATGAAGGACAGGTCCATCAAGGGCTATTAGACAGGATGGGCAGGGATGGTGTCCCTAGCCTCTGTCTGTCAGAAGCTGGGAATGGGTAACAGGGGAAGGATCACTTTGATTCCTGTTCTGTTCATTCCCTCTGGGGCACCTGGCATTGGCCACTGTTGGCAGACAGGACACTGGGGTGCACCCTGGCATTGGCCACTGTTTGCAGACAGGACACTGGGCTGGACTTCTGTCTAACCAAGTAGGGCTGTTCTTCTGTTCTTATGAAAATTACTATCACAATGCAGGGCTGCGCTGATGGAAAAGAAAGTAAACAAGGATAAACGAAGGTCTTCCATCCTCTAATGAATCTCGTCAGAACACACCTTGTGGAGTTACTCCGCCATTTAGGATAGGCTTCCCTTCTTCATCTCGCACCATTCCCCTCTCATTTGTTTTGTGGACCAAGTACAGTTTTGTCTCCTTGTCGTAATCCAGGACGCCAACGCTGATCCACTCATAGATCAACTCACGGCTTTTGGGATCCTCTGATGGAAGATACTATTATTACATGTCACAAGAGTGAAATGCCTGCAAGCTGCATGGAAACTTTCTATACAAACACCATTATAGAGGCTCAAACTACATGTATTCCACATATTAAAAAACCCAGTAAGAGGTCCAAAAAAATGACCATGGCTAAATAACAGAGTGAAAGACACAAAAAGACATTTTTTAAAACTGGAAGTCCAATTCTACTGAGGAAAACAGAAAGGAACAGAAAGGCCAGAAAAGAATTTGCAAAGCAACTAGCAAAAGATACAAAAAGTAAAAGCACCTTTTTAAGTACCTCAAAAACAAGAAGCCTGCCAAGCAATCACTGCTAAAGGAAACACTCAAGGAAGACAAGGCCACTGGGGGTACATCTGCACTACAGAGGAAGATCGAAACTGCTGCCGTCTAGTTCAGACTGCTAATTCGAAGTAAGGGGGCACTCTGGTCGATGCTGGTAACCCTGCTTTAATGAAGAGTAAGGGAAGTCGAAGGAAGAGTGTTCTTCCTTCGACTTTCTGCAGTATAGACAGCGTCAAAAGTTGAGTTAACCTACTTCAACTACAGCTACGCAATTAACGTAGCTGAAGCTGCGTATTTTAATTCAACTTTGTCCCATAGCGTAGATATTCCCTGAGAAGCTATATGAATTCTTTGCACTGGATTTCACAGCAGTGAAGATGATGTAGACTCTCCCATCTCATGGAGACATGTTTTTAGGTGACAAATCTGAGAAACTATTCTAGATTCTAGATAGCAAAATAAAATAAAGCACCCCAGGCAGGCTAATCATGCATGCAATTGCTTCCTGACACTTGCTCCGTATGTTCTCCCCATTGTTTACATTCTGGACAACAGGATTGGATCACACACACAAGTGGCTCCAATTTTCAGAAGGGCCTAAACCTGACCTCCAGTCTTGCACTCACAAATAAATACAGATGTGTTTCACAGTATTTAGCCTTCTAACTACTTGACTTGCAAGCGTGATCAAGGAGTGAAATAATTAAGAACTATAAAATTAGCCTGCAATGGTTTCCAGGCACAGAAATGTGTCTCCAAATCAGAAGCTACTTCTACAAACAAGATCCAGTAGATGTGTGGCAGAGCTCAGAGATGAACTCAGTTCCCCTGATTCCAAGACCCTGGCTACATCTAAACTGCAGTTTTGCTGGTTTTGCGCAAAAACTCACGGAGCGTCCACACTACAAGTGCATTTTTGCGCAAGAAAAAGTACAGTAGATCATCAGAAGACAGGGCTTTTTGCGCCAGAGTTATTCCTCTTTCTATGAGGAATAAGCCTTTTTGCGCAAGAGCTCTTGCACAAAAAGGCGTGTGTAGACAGACACCAGGGGTTTCTTGCACACGAAACCCCTACTGGAAAAAGCACAGGTGCTCTGATGGCCATTCTGTGAATGGCCATCAGAGCTTTCTTGCGCAAGAACGTCCATGGCAGTGTGAACGCTCTCTTGTGCAAAAGCATACCTCTTGTGCAAAAGCACATGGCAGTGTGGACGCGCTCTTGCACAATAACTTTTTGCGGAAGATCTCTTCTGCAAAAAGTTCTTGTGCAAGAAGCCTGCAGTGTAGACGTAGCCCCCAGCTCTAACCACTACTGCATGTTACCCAAGTACTCTCTCTGATTGTATGATCCTCTGTTCCATTCATCTGAGTTGGACATTTCCTGTCCAAACACTAACCAATCTGCTACAATAACCCTGCTAGGCTCATTAGCCCAGTGTAACTATGCAGAGCACCTGAACGACAGCCCAGTCATGCATTACCGTGTCCCAGTAGATCATCTGTAGGTAAAAGCGCTTTTCCGGGAACTGGTTTTCTGTCTCGAGAGCCTGGTTCCAGCCCCAGCAAGAGCCACTCTTCTGGTGTCCGGCAGTCATACTCCTCATCATCAAATATCTACAGAGGCAGTACAAAGCAAGCCATGGCAATGGATCCCTGCTTGGGGCAGATAACAAGGTGGCACCGAAATTTACGAGAGGAAAAGAAACACACACTCCCTGGATTTTATGTAATGGGGGGAAACAGCAGAGGTGCAGAAACCCCACAAAGTGTGGCTATATCAGGAACTTACCCAAGAGTGGCTTCTAGACTCCTCCTTCTCTTCGAGGTAGGAGAGAATGGGGAGGAGACACTCTACTGGAGAAGTCCCAAGCAGTCAGTGCTGCTGGCAGTTGCATTCAGAAGGAAATCTGAATTTGTCTAAGTATGGGATTAAAAAAGCCCAAACAACTGGCTTTGGACCAGTCCTGCGAGATGCTGAACACCTTCAGCTCCCGTTGATTCAAATGTAATTGTGGGCTTCATTAACTTACGGGGGGTGCTCAACACCGTGCAGGAATGAGTCCTAAGGCTCCCTCGCCCCCATGGCGTCTGTCCTAAAGTATTCACCTGCTCATTTCTGTTTCTTACAAAATCAAAAGATGCCATCATGTGCCCTGCCATTTTCGGTGAGGCCAGAGAGCACCAGGAGAAAGGCAGATGACAGTTCTGAGGCTGCCGGCTTACCTGCAGTGGGAGGTAGATGGGAAAGAGAGGATCTCTCTTTTGTTCAATGGTTGGCATATTGTCAGGGTCTTGGTGCCTGGGCATTAGCTGATTGGAATCTATCCCCTCATTGGCTAAGAGCTGAGCAATATCGAGTTTGAGATATAGCCGTCGTTGCCTGGTTAGGAGTCAATGAGATTGAATGGTTATGCTTAATGAAGTCATGTGAATTGTCATTATTCAATTGTCTTTAGGTCTGCTCCAGGAAAGGACATCTGTTCCAGTAACTATGGGTCCAATATGGAAACCAGGAATGTTAATGATTCATAGAATCATAGAACCATAGAGCTGGAAGAGACCTCAGAAGGTCATCCAGTCCAGCCCCCTGCTCTAGGCAGGACCAATTCCAACTAAATCAACACGGCCAGGGCTTTGTCAAGCTGAGACTTAAACACCTCTAGGGATGGAGACTCCACTACTTCCCTAGGTAACCCATTCCAGTGCTTCACCACCCTCCTAGTGAAATAGTTTTTCCTAATATCCAACCTGGACATCTCCCACCACAACTTGAGACCATTGCTTCTTGTTCTGCCATCTATCACTACTGAGAACAGCCTCGCTCCAGCCTCTTTGGAACCTCCCTTCAGGAAGTTGAAGGCTGCTATCAAATCCCCCCCCACTCTTAGCTTCTGCAGACTAAACAGACCCAAGTCCCTCAGCCTCTCCTCATAAGTCATATGCTCCAGCCCCCTAATCATTTTGGTTGCCCTCTGCTGGACCCTCTCCTTTTTGTAGTGGGGGGCTCAGAACTGGACACAATACTCCAGATGTAGCCTCACCAGAGCTGAATAAAGGGGAATAATGACATCTCTGGATCTGCTGGCAATGCTCCTCTTAATGCAACCTAATATGCCATTCGCCTTCTTGGCTACAGGAGCACACTGTTGACTCATATCCAGCTTCTCATCCACTGTAACCAAAATGTTTGTTTGAAATGTTAACCAATTAAATGCTAGGTTTAACCGGTTAACCTTGGAGCAGCACCCCAGCCTGCGGCACGCTGGGCCTGGCCTGGCTGGAGCAACCGGCCAGACCCACCACACCGCAGGCAGGAAGTTACTCCAGCCCAGTAGGGCCGCCAGTTAACCAGCTACCCATAAGCATCACCCAATAAGTGCGATGCTTAACAAGTAGTCAGTTAACCGGTTAACTCTTTACATCCTAATGGAACCAGTGTCACAGCCATTGGACACTACCCAGAAGGCAGAACAGATCGATGGAACTTCTAGAACGATTCTGAATACCACATTATGGGTGAGATTCCCTAAAATGCTCAGGGTTGGCCAAACTCTGCACCCAGTGACTTCAGTAGGAGTTTTACCATTGACCCTGGCGATGGGGGAGTCAGGCCAAGGCTGAGCACGGAAAATTCCACCCTCAGGCCTTTATTCTAGGGATCACCCCGGCATTATCAGAGGCGGGCTGGCTGATCTCAGAGGCCTTTCCCACCTCTGACGTCCACAAAGCACTCTAAGCTTAGTCATTCTGTCAAACAGTCATCCTCCCTCTGCGTGGCCTAGGCCAACAGCAATGCACATGTGGCAAGGAGTAAGGCTGAATCCGGCAGTAAAATACCATCCCTCTTGGGTCATAATCTATGTAGTACCTCTGCATCTTCAGAGCGGCTTCCATGCCCAGCAACTGTGTGGCTATGAGATGTCTACAGAGGCTAATACCTTGTCCCCTTCTTGAGCTTACCTCTCGATCTCAATCTTCCGAGGGCACTGTCCTGGCAGGCCCTGAAAGGGCAGCTGCACCTTCGGCTTAAACGCTTGCAGCGGGAAGTCTGCCTTGGTCAGGATCTCAGTGGTCGGTCCAATCACTTGCTTGTCCAGGTAAGACTCAAAGTCCGTGGGACTCTCAAATGTTGTGACTGACATCAAACAAATCACAAGCAAAGTCCTACGTTCGTAAACCAATGTATCTGCATTCCTGTGCACATACAGCCAGCCACCGCATGCAGGCGATCACAAGGGTCAGAGCGACCGTACTGCATGAGTGAGTGGAGGAGTCAAGCAGACCCTGACACAGGGTGTCCTCATGCGTGGAAGCCAACCTTGTTTTCTCCCTCGCTTTTTCTGTCTGTATGCTCATGTGTGTTATTATGTTACTATAATAGCAACACAACACTAGGGGCTCAGTGACAGCAATACTGTGCATTAAGAATTAATATAAAGCAAGTGGATTGTGAACAGGGCTGTGGACGTGGGCAAGACACTTAATCTGCCCAGTGCCTCAGCTCCCCATCTGTAGAACACAGAAGATACTTTCCTGCCAGGTTTTTGTGAGGGTAAGATTCATGCATAGCTGTGAGGCACTCAGATACTATGGCGACGAGAAGCATATAAATCTAGAGAGAGAGCAACTCGGATAACCTGTAACTTCTGATGTGCTCATTCATGTTTTATTTAGTCAAACCTCAAAAGGAGTCAGTCACACAGTTCTCACTCAGGCAAAATTTCCATTCTTTTCAACAGGAGTTTGTCTCATTAAGGACTGATACAAACTGACTTAACAATCTCAGGACTTTGGCCTGTTGTTTTCAGTGGAAATTATGCTCTAGGCGTAAAGATCTCCAAAGCTTTGAACTAAGGAAAAATCATCTTAGATAACCTATAAATAACGCACAAATGTTTAGATGACTAAGTATAGTAGCATCATTAGCTGCAAATAAGAGAATTGTAACAAGCTAGGAATTCGAGGTTTTACCTGAAATAAGTAATTGGCTGCTAGATGTAAAGAGCATGCTCCCCTTGGAGAGAGACTAATACTGAGCTAAAAATAAGATAAAGAGCTTTGAGGAAAGGTGGCCTCTTTTATCTCTTACTTAAAAAACTTTCATGATGGCCAAGGAGAAACTTGGGATTTCGGGCCTTACATTGGACACTTGGACACGATCAAGGTTGTGAAGAAGGTGGGACTACAACTTGCTCTGTGTACTTGGCTCTTGGTGCCTGTACAGAGCCCTACAGACATCAGAGCAATTGTGCAGAGCAGTTTGCTGGACTGAGGCCTTTGAAACCAATTCCATGAGGCACTGAGCCTCTGCAGCTGTCACTGAAGGCAAAAACGCTGATGCCCCTGATATTTCAGGATCAGAATCCCTGTCACACAAAACCACCAATCTAACCTTCGCTTGTTATGAAAAGACCACTTCGCAAGCGGAGCCCAATCCTAATGAGGCTGCTCTATAGATTTCATTTCCTTTGTATGCATCTCATGAATCAAATACGGTACAGCATCATGAACTGTCCATATGCACACCCAGGTTTCGGGTATGTTTGAAGATGTGTTTTTACTGAAGAGTCGATACAGCACAGAGGTTTGAACAGAAATCTGTAACCCTACACAAATGTCGGTTTGGTTTCTTCCCAGAACCGCCCTGCTTATCTCTATTGTCAGGCAATGCTATTATTCCCACTGTGCCATTTCACTTCATTGAAACCTATGAAGCTATTCATTGCAGCACTTTGTGCATTACCAGTTATTTATGCCAATACTTAGTGTGTCATTGGCATTTGTATTACAGCCGGAGTTTTTTCTCCATTATAGAAGTAGCATATCGCAAATAAAGATCTGTCTCCACTTGTGAGAATGAGTCGGTCTTGTCAAGAGTCACTTAAAGGTGAAGTCATTCTCCCTTACTCATGACAATAAACACCACAGCTAAAGTACCGCAAGGTGATAGACAGCTGCCATTTCTCCCCAGCCTATGACCCAAATAACCAGACTGGGGAAGGAAAGAGTTTTTCCTCTCTTAGTCAGTCTCTCAGGCCATACTCTAGCCTTCAGGACATGGGCAAGTGGGAAGGGAGAGGCAGGGCCCTTTGTCCAAGGCACAAGGCTCCATCGCTTGCATATGGAACTGGACTCCAGATCAAACAAAAGGATGGTGCATTTCCTGCCTGGCCAAATCCTGCACAGCCTTTGCTAACTTCTTGTCCACGGACTGGCAAACATAACACAGCTGTGAAGGATAGATCATTCCTAGCAACATTAATCTTCTTGTTCTTACCAGGGTACAACAAAGGTCTAGCTACAAGAGCCACCTCCTAGATTAGAAATGGACTCAATCACTCCGTGGTCATCACAGGGATGAGGGATGCCCCGTCACGTGGCAAATAGCTTTTTGCTCACGAAGGGGATCATTCTAATGACTTGGTGGGTCACTTCACTCTACCATTCCCAAGAGATTCCATTACCTTGGGACCATCCTTGGCTTTGAGAAGTATTTCCAATGCTTTTCTACAATAGGGATTAGCCTGAAGCAGTGGTTCCCAAACTTTTTGAGCATACAGACCCCTTTTCAATGTATTAAAATTTCACAGCCTCCCTCCCTGGGGGAGGAGAGGAGAGGAGAGGAGAGGAGAGGAGAGGAGAGGAGAGGAGATTAGATTAGATTAGATTAGATTAGATTGCTCCCACTGCCATGGGCCGGATCTTTACTTTTAAACTTTCCACGGACCTCCTGCAGTACGATCGCAGACCACCAGGGGTCTGAAGCCCACAGGTTGGGGACCACTAGCCTAAAGTCATCAGCTGAAGTACAAATTTCCCAGTATGCCTAATGCTAGCAACATTAATTCTTTAAGGTCCCATTTCCCAGCATGCCTGTAGCCAGAGGCATTATTCTTTTCAGACCATTTACCTTTTGGCGTGTGCTGCTCAAGATCAGCTTGTCTCAGTAAATTCTTGTAGACGCTGGGGCCAGCACACACATCCTGCAAACCCAGCACATAAGAGTGTCACCAGGGAGAGTCAGAGATAAGAGAGAGGAGTCAGAGAGAGAGGGAGTGGGTTAAGGGGATCCACAGAGAGGGGAGGGAAAGAAGAAAAAAATCTTCCAGGAGGGCCTTGAGGACATGTTGAAACACAGAGACCCATGGATAAAGGCTGTAAGATAGTACCACACACACACAGAGGCTAAGAGAATGCAGCCTGAAACCAACAAGCTACCTCCAAGGAGAGGGCCAAAGAGCAAGGAAGCCATAGAAGTTATGCTTAATTACACCAGCTGAAGATTGGGCCTGAAACATTTACTAGCCCACTGGAGATCTGTGCCCTTCCCACAATAAAATGGTGATACATGTAACACTGTGACTGCACTGAGAGCCAGGAGTCCCTGGAATTCAAGGAAATTGTGAATTGCGAGAGACAAAGTGTTATTTCACCCCACAGAGTCAAATCCTATGCAGCAGAGGGCTCTGACCGAGGGGAACAGCTGCAGAAGGCAGGGCTGGGGGAAGTGGTGGGGGGGCTCTTACTCCACCCTACATTTCATACAGGAGCTGGGAGTCCCAGGTAGATCTCTTAACTGCACAGAATTAATGTGGAATATGAATTCTGCAGAGGAGAGGTGCTTCTTGCAGCTTGTACCCTGGGCGCAGGCAGTCAGTGCCTTGTTTACAGAGGCAGGGTGAAGATGGTAAGAAAGGGCTGGTGATTAAGTTAAAGATCTGGAAGTACCTGAACCTCTAAAAAACCAATGAGTAGTCCTGTAGCTGCATAGCACCATAGATAGATATAGATATAGATATAGAATCATGAGCTTTCATGAGCAAAACCCACTCTCTCAAATTTGTCCACTCTCTTCATGGTATGTCCACCCCTTTGTGGTCACACTGCAGGATAGTTGTCCCTTGCACTCGCTGCCCCCCAGTGGTCACTCTGCAGTATCTCTGTTCCTTCTATCAGTCCCCTCCCTTTCCATGTTATGGAAAACAATCCCATTCCAGGCACATCCCGTTTTCCTGGCACAACAAAACCCTGACCTTGCTTTAAGTTATAATAAGAAGAAACTGCATACCAAATTTGGTGGTCCTAGTTTTTACTGTTTAAGAGTTCTTGAACAAACAGACTCACAGATGGACTCTCAGACAGACAGATGCACAATTTCTCTAAAACATATATATCTATAGATATAGATACATAGATATATTAGAGATTATTATCTGACCAGGAGTTCTCTAGTTAAAGTCTTCTCCCCCACCCCCACACACACCAAAATCTGAAATGGGGTTCCTGGAGCCAGCTGCCTTGCTCAGTGAAGACTGGGTGAAGAAATGAACCAGAGGAGGAGTAGAGGGGAATAATTATGGGCAAGAGAAAAGAGGACAAGGAAGCCAAGGAGTTGTGTGTGTGATAGGTAAGTGGCATTCTAAGCTGCAGTCCTATTTTCCGCATGAGCACGCCTTGCAGATTATCTGCTTTTCACATGGATCCTTACAGATCTGTGACTCTCTAGCAGCAAAGATGAAGAAAGAGGAGGCTCTTTGCACTTACCCCCAAGAGATCTGTGGCTCCTGGATAGAGAACATCAGAGTAAAATCCCTTTTGTTTCACCACTGGGTATTTCCTGTTGGTCCCCCTGGAGTTGCTCTCTGTTGGGGTTGAGCTGGCTCCTGGGCTGGGGTCCAAGACCTGAGCCTGGCTGCTGTGTTGAGGAGAATAGGGGCTCCTCCCCAGTGAGTTTGTCAATTCTCTTTTTGTCTTATCCATCCTCTTCACCAGTCAGGGGAAAGATGCTGGGAAGCAATCATGGGCCTTCTGGAAAGGAAACCAATTGATACTATTAACACTGCGTCTCTGCTGCTTGTAAAATACTTCGCAGCGGTTTCCCCATTGCTGGCCTACTAAGCAGGTAGCGAGGTGCACGTGCCCCTGCCATGACACCGCGCTTTACTTTTATGGCCTGGTGGCCATCTGTCGCACACAGATGATTGGATGGCTCACTAACCCCTGGAAAATGGGGAGCTTCATGCTTCCACACAGGTTTCGGAGGAGAAAACTCATCAGTGGAGGCATAAAAAGCTGCGTTCCTGAAACAGCAGGGACTTCCCAACAGCTAAGAGATGGCCAGCAGAACTGGAGCAGGCCTGCACTGAAACTAGCACATAAGCCCTCTGAGCTACAGGCCCTGTCAGGTACGCAGGGCCTTTACCAAACCCTTCAGCGTAACAGTCCCCTCCAAACTTAACCCGACTCTAGGAAGCTTAACCCCACACTCCCCACCCAGCCAGTCCCAGTTGACAGGCAGTTCTGACTCCCAGGCTCAGATAAATAAAGCAAGGCCTGTTGGATATTAAAACATAGCCAGGAGCTCTCTATTACTGCGGGGCATTTATTTATTTATTTTTGCTGGCAATCTCAACTCCATTTTTCTCCCTCTATCGGGGACAGACAAGTACAGGCAAATATTACCGGTGTGCACTTTTACTTTGGATACCAAAAAAATCGTTACATAACTGCAGATGCTAACGAAGCACAGCCCTCAGACTCCTGGCAAGCTGCTAATGTGAAACCAAGGACTGCAACATTCAGCCCCAACTAAGGGCTTGTCTGAAGAAAAAAACATTACTGCTGTAACTCAACTCGACTAGTTAAAGCAGTCCAGCTACCCCTATGCAGTTCTACAAGCTTAAAGATGTCTGTCCTGGAATTACCATAAATGTATGGTGAAGCTATATCTGGAATGGTGCCACTTATGCACCAGACCTTGCTCACAGCTAGGCCTAAAGACTAGCTATAAGCAAAGAATAGCCCTTAATCTTCCTATGGGTTTCTTTCGTTTGCAAAAGAGAAGACTAAGAGGGGACATGACAGAAGCTTTCAAGTACATAAATGTTTATTACAAGGAGGAGGGAGAAAAATTATTCTCCTTAACCTCTGGGGCAGGACAAGAAGCAATGGGCTTAAACTGCAGCAAGAGAGGTTTAGGTTGGACATTAGGAAACCTTTCTGTCAGGGTGCCTAAGCACTGGAATACATTGCCTTGAGAGGTTGTGGAATCTCCATCACTGGAGGTTCAGAGCAGGTTAGACAGACACCAGTCAAGGATGGTCTAGATCAGGGGTGAGTTGTGGAATCTCCATCACTGGAGGTTTTTCAGAGCAGGTTAGACAGACACAAGTCAAGGATGGTCTAGATCAGAGGTGGGCAAACTTTTTGGCCCAAGGGGCATATCTGGATAGGGAAATTGCGTGGTGGTGCAGGAGGTTGGGGAGTGGGAGGTGGCGAGGGGTGCCAGGGGTTGCGGTATAGAGGGTGTAGGAGGGGGGGCTCAGGGCAGGAGGTTGGGGTTGTGGGACGCAGGCTCCAGCTGGACACTGCTTACTTTGGGCAGCTTCTGGTTGGTGGCACAGCGGGGCCAAAGCAGGCTCCCCCTTGGCCTGGCCCTGTGCTGCTTTCAGAAGTCTCTGACACATCTGGCAGCAGTTCCTGGGAGAGGGGAGGGAGTCAGTTCCATGCACTATCCTTGCATGCAGACACTGCTTCTGCAACTTCCATTGGCTGCCGTTCCCTTTTCCTGACCAATGAGAGTCTGCAGGTGAGGGCAGCGTGTGGAGCTGCTCCCTCATCCCCCCCCACACAAACCCAGGGTCTGCAGGGAGATGCCACTGACTTCTGGGAGCAGCATGGGCCCAGGGAATGCAAGGAGCCTGCCTTAGCCCCACTGCACTGGTAATCCTAAAGGCCATATTAAAAACTCTGAGGGGCCGAATGCAGCCTGGAGGCTGTAGTTTGCCCACCTTGAGCTAGATAATATTCAGTCCTGCCATGAGTACAGGAGACTGGACTAGATGACCTCACCAGGTCCTTTCCATTCCTACGATTCTGTGATTCTATGATTTACAGAGGTGCCTGTTCTGTGTCCCATGAAAGTCCTGTTGTCCTGTCTGGTTTAATTCTGGGGGGAAAAAATCTGCCCAAAATCTGCTGGCTGAGTTTTCCAACTTGCCACGGCGGATTTTCATTAAAAAGGTCTTGTCAAGGCTTATAGCTGAAAACTAGCGCTGTCACTGTGTTGGGGTCTGCTGTCAGTCAGAGGTGACAAAACACACATGCATTTGCCTACTGAGACCCTCTGCTCTGTTCCTGAATGCAGGCAGTGAAGTGAAATTTACAAACATCCTATCTCCTCTGTTCAGAGAGCATGAATGTTGTAAATTTCAGCTAGCTGCCTGCCTAGAATGAATCAGGTACACACAGCAGGGAAAGCATTACATACACATCTGAGATGGCAGGGAATAACTGCACACCGTTACTGGAGCATTCAAATCAGTGGACAATTTTGAATGTTTTTTTTAAATAAACAGATGACAAATTAAGATCACTATTATGTGAGTAAATGAGTGAAATCGGGAGACTTTGGAGGAGGATCTAACTTTCTCCTCCTAGCCCCTCTTGTGTTTCCCAACTGAGAGCTCAGACCTTAAAGAATGAATTTTCCATGGCAGCTGTTGTTTTTTATTAGTTATTTTATGCTCTGGACAGATCTATTTTAGCAGCACAGCAGGATTGATTGGTATCAGCTGAGATCCAAGGACTCCTGATGAATCACTGCTGGACTCTTTTATGCCTGCTGCACCAATACAGTGGAACAAGGGTAATGCAAAATGACCCTGCTGAGGCTTTCTTACTAGGACAGCTCAGTGGGCTGTGGGAAGGCAAAGTGGGACAGCAAGTTACCACACTACCCTTTCACCTCCGAAGGCCACAGTCTCATCCTAGACTATATTTGTGAACATCAGAACCGCCCCCTGGTCCCTCCCCACACATGCACGATTAGCAATTTCTGCCCAGGTCTGAAATAGCATAAGCTACTGCAGGTCAGGGCTGAGTTCCATTGACAGCTGTGTGGAGGAAGTATCTACCACACTTTCTCTACTGCTTTACACCTTGCGTTGTCATCTACACCTCCAGGATGTCCTTTATGATCACTAAATTTATTCACCAATTAAAATAAACCCTTATTCAGCATCCTGCTCAAAAACATCCATCTGTCAGGCCCACACAGATACACAAGAGAGGACAATGTATATGCCTGACTAGTGTAACACTGACACACTGTCCAACATCTACAAGAACAAAATCAGACCTTGAAACATTTCCCAGCCAACTAGCAGACAAAGTACCAAAATGCCTAGTCAGAGTGTTTAATAAAGAGCGGGTGCACCAGAAAATCCAGAGCAAATTCCAGTCCTCAGCAAGGAATTTCTACTGGAGTGCTATTCCTGAATCCTGCTTGGGGGCTCCATACTTCATATCAGCCTCTAGCTGACTGATCTAGTAGACGATTGATAAATCAGATGTTCGCAGTTTCTTATCTGTTTGTCAGGGCTGGGAATGGGTGACAGGAGAGGATCGCTTGATTGTCCGTCTGTTCATTCTCTATAGCAGGGCTGGGCAAGATGCGGCCCACCTAACAATTTGATCCGGCCCGCAGATTGCATCTGGCCGATTTCCAGGAGGTGGCTCAGGCAGCAAGATCCTATTTAAATGGCCCACTGCTTTGTTGTGGCCCTACCCCAGCAGTGGCCAGAGCCGTGAGCCCTTTTAAACATCTGCAGCAACCCTGGGCAGTTCCAGGCAACGCAGTAGCAGCAGTGCTGGGAGCTGCGAGCCCTTTGCTGTGTTTTTAATTCAAAGTCTCTGGCACCAGACAACTCTGGGGGGAGGCTAGTTCCCAGCCCCAACCCTTCTATCTAGGCCCCCTGCCCCTTCCAGGGGTGGAACCAACCTATGACCATGTACCAAAATTCATAAAGTGGCCCCGCTGTGAAAATTATTGCCCACTCCTGCTCCATGGGGTACCTGGCATTGGCCACCGTCAGAAGACAGGATGCTGAGCTACATAAAACTGTGGTCTGACCCAGTATGGCCATTCTTATGCTCACTCCCAGCCACTAAAAGTGGGAGCAGCAGTCTGTCTCTTCTCCCCCATTCTCAGCCTCTGGGCTGGTTTGAACAGAAGAGGTTCTCTATCTCTCTTAGCCTCATAACTGAGGTAAATGAAACACGGCATCTGAAGGTATACACTACCCTTCCCCAACGTCTGCTTTTTGGAGCCTCTTCCTCAAGAGTTGTCTCTGCTGCTGCTCACAGCTGTTCCTTGCAGTTGTAATGTAAAACTAATATTATTCTGGACAACTTTCTTGTTTCCAAAAGAGGTCTGAATGTGAGCAATGAAACTGCCCCAGTCTTGTTAATTTCATTCTCTGCAGCTGCAGCTGTGGCAATAAAACCATTTCTATGCAAACTCAGCAGGTTACACTCACTTCATGGTTATAAGATTTCCTTTGGAACCACAAGGGCTGGGAAACTTTACTTTAAGGAAGAGATTTTCAAAGGCACACAATTCTCACTGGAAGTCAAAATCTCCTCCTGAAAGCATGTTATACAGAAATTGATAATTTAGTCTCCACACTCATGTACACACACACACTTTTCACAGACATTTGCCAAGGAAAGTTTCCCCACCCAACGCTGGCAAATGGATAACTGGCTGTGTCAAGTCTTAAACCATTAAACTACAATAAGTATTTTATCACCACCTTTCTAGCAGTTCAATACTCATCATCCAGCCAAACAAAGCCACACTATCCTTGAACTCCGGGAAAATTTGCTTCCGGGATTTATATAGATAAATAAATCCAGGAAAAAAAACACACACACACACATCACTGTGTTAAGCAGAAGTTCCTAAATGGGATTGTGCAAAAGATATTATAATGGAGCTGCTGACACAACATTAGCTACAGTATTCA